CAACGAGGTAAATGGTCATCACCGGGAGGTAGTTCAAGAAAGTTTGTCGGTTCAAGCAATGATCTGGTTTGTACTTGGTACTGTGGTAGACAGAATACATTGATATTTCAAGGAGAAAGCGGTAATCAACTAAGATATTGTCTAATTCAAATGTGTGTATCTACAAATTTGGAGGAATTTAAAGCTAATACAAAGGTATGTTGTAGATGTTTACAACGTATTCCTTCCCAAGCCTCAGGTGGAATGACACCTCAATCGTCGAATGTTAACATTAAAGAGTGTGTCGAAGATATTAAACTTGATATCGAAATTCTTCAAAGCCGAGTCGATGCACTTCAAACTTTGGAAAATACCCAATCTTTTCCCCCGAAGCAAAGGCTCAAATTCTCATAGATGATATAAGGGCATTGCAAACAGAGTTGCAAGTACAAAAGGATAAAAATATCAAACTTGAGTTGGAAATTAAAGAGCTTAGAACGGATGTATTAATGTTAAAAAATAGATTTGAAAACAAAAAGACTGACCGAGCTATTGAAACTAGAAACAATAGACATGAATTTAAAATTTGCAATAATTTTGTTCCATCACAATCGCTTAACTCTCTTGCTGATCAATTAGAAATATATCGTGCCAAAGACAAAAATAATTACACCAAGGCGAAAAACTGTTCCGTTACCCTACAAAATTATACTACACTTAATAAAAAACAAAATTTCAATGATAAGTTTTCAATGCAAATGACTAAATATCGTGAAAAACATTATGTCAAGTATACTGCAAATCATGCTGGCATGGAACAACTCCAGATAAACAACTCTGCTGCTACTACCCATCTGGAACAGAAGTCATCAAACCCAGTTGATACAACTCATGATGTCCTTTCTGATCAAAAACAAAATTTAACATCGCTTACAGCAATTAACACCGAGCAACTGCCGAGTCCTACTAACGTTTTCCAAAACTGAAAGCAAAACAACTCAAAGGATGGTAATTATCAAGTCAAATTTAACGCCATTAAATATCCACCATCTCAAACACCTTCTAAAAGTACAAAGAAAAACAATTTTTATCATAAGAGTACCCCTTTTCGGTATTACCATCATCCCCTAACACACTCACATCACCAAGATCTTCGCAAACAAGCTTTTTTGAAGTACGATTATGAGACATCTTGCAAAAGGAAGAAAAAAGCAAAAGAATGGCTAACATACCTACACTTTGTTCATCAAACACTGAACAAAAAATAACCACTGTTGAACCGCTTGTTGGCGTTTGTTCTCAGCATAGGACTGGTTTCGGGGCTAAGCTGGGGAGGAAAATAGATCGAATGCATCGTGGCTTAATCGCATCAGATTACACAACCAATGATAACATCTTCTCCATTGACGTTCGTATAACCCAGAGAAAACCAATCAAACATATTAAAATAAATAAGGGATACAATACGAATTATGGCAAATGCAACTGTATAGAAATTAAAACTAACAGTAATGATCCAGTCAAAACCTTTCTCCCAACAATCATGCTCACAAATGCATGTCATGTAACTAATAAAACTAATGAACTACATGGAGTCGTCATGAATAATGGTCCTGAAGTTGTACTGATTACAGAATCCTGGCTTTCTCCAAACATACAAGACACAACAATATCGATTAATGATGAATACAAAATATTTCGCAAAGACAGACCCACCCTTGGCGGAGGAGTTCTTACTTATGTACATCAAAGTATACCTGTTAGTCGCAAGTTATTTGATGAAGACAATGATAAAGAGGTGCTATGGTTAGTGCTTAAAGCAACAAGAACGCCTCGCCCATTTAGTGCAATTATTATCGTCATTATTTATTATCCACCTGGACAAAGTGCCGAAAAAGAACATGATATGATTGAATATCTCATCAAAATTTAGATCAGTTGCTATGTGAACGTCCATCCTCTGCAATTATAGTTGCTGGAGACTTCAATAAATTAAACTTGACTAATCTATGTAATTGTTTCAATTAAAAAAATCTATCCTATACCCAACCAGAGGAAAAAACGGTTTGGATCAAGTCTTGACAAATATGCGAGATATGTATAAACCAACACAGCATCTACCACCATTGGGACGTTCTGATCACAATTGCCTTCTATTAGTGCCAAAACAGAAAGAAAAAACACCAACAATTCCCAGAAGGGTAAGACTCTTAACACCTGGAAAAGTAAATATCTTATGCAGAAAACTTATTCTTGAAGATTGGTCTGAGGTCTTTAATGTACAAGATGTAGATGAAAAAGTAAATGCTTTTACCTCGACGATGCTTAGTATTATGGATGAAACTATTCCTGAAAAAACAGTACGAATGCATACTTCAGATAAACCTTGGATGACAAGCTTTATAAAATCAAAGATCAAAGCCAGACAACGTGCTTTCTCATGTAATAATCAAGCACGTTATGAAAAACTATGTTCTGATGTCTCAAAACTTATAAACAACGCCAAAATTTCATATTACAAACGAAAAGCAAAAGACTTTCGTACGACTAACCCTAAAAAATGGTATAAATCAATCTTCTTAATGTTGGGAATTAATAACGGGAATAGTGTAAAAAGAAATGTTTATGATGAAAATGTACTGGAACTAGCTGAAAAATTACAACAAGTCTTTACAAAACCTTGGTTAAACCAATTACCCGACTACGAAATTGAAGATAACTTGATCAACCAAACGCTGAAGGATGTTAAACCTCCTTTACCATCTATTGGACAGGTCAAGAGTTGTCTACAGCACCTAAATCCCAGAAAAGCAACAGGTGATGACAAAATTCCGGCATGGATACTTAAACGTTTTTGCGAAGATCTTGCACCAGTCGTACACAATATAGTAACCACAAGTATAAAACAATGCAAGTACCCCAGCCAATATAAACATGCACTAATAACTCCAGTTGCTAAAGTTAATAATCCAAGCAATGTTGAAAATGACTTCAGACCTATATCTGTCCTTCCTCAAATGGCAAAAGTAATAGACAAACTTCAACTCCATTTGAATAAATCAGATTTCAAAATAAAGAGTAACCAACATGCCTTTACTCATGGCCGATCTACTGTATCTGCTCTAATATCTATCACACAAAATTGGTATAATGCAACAGATAATTCTCAATTAGGTAGAAAGGAGTTCACGTATTATTTATAGATTTTCGAAAGGCGTTTGACATGGTGAATCACAATATATTACTACAAAATTAGCATCTATGGAAATTAATAAGTCTTTCTGGCAATGGATTCGAAGTTTTTGACAGGAAGAACGCAAAAGTCAACCTAAAGGAGCTATGTCATCCATCCAACCTTGCCCTTTGGGCGTGCCACAAGCGCTGTCATATCACCAGTGCTCTTTAATGTATATATAAATGATTTAGAGGACAATATTCCTAAAGAAATAGATGCTAATACATGTAAATATGCGGATGATTGCACTCAGAACCAGATTGTCGAAAGAGGTGAATGCAGTTCCATGCAAGAAGTAATCGACGAATTACGGAAATGGGCTGATAATAACAGAATGGCTCTGAATCCGAAAAAAAACAAAGGATATGTGGATATGCTTTACGAACTCAATACAAGAACCACCCTCCCTATTTTTTGGAGAAGAAGAAATAGAAAGAGTTACCAATTTCAAACTTCTTGTCGTAACATGTCAAAATGATCTTAAATGGAATGAACATGTACACCAAATTACAAGCAAGGCAAATAAAAGACTATATTATCTTCGACTTTGTAGGAAGTCTCAATTACCTTCAGATGTTGGATTATTATCATATACATCAAAAATAAGACCAGTATTAGAGTATGCATCGGCAGTCTGGGCAGGACTTCCACATTTTTTACAGCAAGAAATTGAACGTGTACAAAGAAGAAGTTTAAAAATTTTACAACTAGATAAAAACTACTTGCCCTCTTTGAAAAGCAGACGTGAACTAGCAACTACCCAAGAGATCAAAAGGATTATAGAGGAACCTGATCATCCATGCAAATTTCTAGTACCTTATCCTAAAGAAAATTCGCACGAGTTGCGTAAAAGCAAAACTTATAGTATTTTATCTCGGACCGAACGTCATAAACAATCTTTTATTGTTAGATCTTGTAAATATATATATATAATAAAGTTAACATGTAATTCTTAGTATTGTAAATTCGTAGTATTGTAATGTAAATTCATCGTACTTTTTAATCTGAAGATGAATAATAAAAACCTTTAACCTTTAATCTTAACCTTAACCTGGAAGTCGCCCGCCTTCCCTTAATCGCTTCATATGAAGTCCACAATATTCACCCATGGAGCTTCGCCCACATGTGGTGAGCTTTCCGGGCAAAAACCACGCACACTTGTTCTTTCCTTGCCTAATGGCTGTCGAATTTTTCGATATACACTACGTGAGAATTTATGTCTAAATAATAATCACATCAGAACTAATAGACCCCAACGGCCGGCCGCGCGGGCGCGGGGGGTGGGCCGGCCGTCTTTGGCTCCTGCCTTTGTCCTGGGTTCGACATTCGCTGTAATTATGAAAGCATACGTACGCGAGCTAGGGCTGGGGCGCTTAGATTTGTGTATACTCCTTCTCAAAATGTCAGTGCGCCAGAACCGGCAGCCTCTAGACCGAGGGTGCGCTAGAACTGGCAGTCTCCAGACCGGGGTTGTGCCAGAACCGGTAGTCTCTATACTACTTCAACATAATCTAAGACAAAAAACAAAATTAGAATAAATTTTGTGTAAAAGCTAGTTTTCTTTCAACTGCATGTTTCACACTCCTAATTGTGACTTCACCATTTTTAAATTTAGGATATATAACTGAAACACACTCTGTGCCATCATCATTTTTTTTTCCTCACTCCTTAAGTTAGCATTGAAATGCATTGCTGCTATGATGTGTCTGGGAGAAGATTACATTATTTAGTTTAGTAAATTATTAATGTAAATAATTTTAAGACATTATGATAGTACCTTGTTACCATTTCTTGATATGTGAAGGCAATCATCTTTGGAGCAACGTGGTTCAAAACAGAGTGGAATCCTTCCAAGCAAACTGTTTGAGCAAGATGGGAGGCTTTCCTACATTTTGGATTTAATTAGACCTCACATCACTAAAGTTTACACACATCTTAGAAAGTCTATTAGCCCTGATTTAAAGCTTGCTGTCACACTGCATCACTACCGTGAAATTGGCACCACATTCAACAAAACACTCATCACAACATTCATCACCACATTCAACTAAAATTTATCATTCAAAATGATAAATCGAAAAATCGTCTTTAAAACACGTTTTCCATCAAATACAACAGTAAAAACAATTCTTAACTGTTTATTACTATTTTACTGTCCTTAACCATCACAAAAAATGTATAAAAGTCAAGAAATTGAAGAAAACACTAAGATTTATATTACAGTGTACTTTCCATTTCTTTTCATTAGCCTATAATTTAAAAACCACACGGTAGAATTTTTTTAAACTTGGCCATATTGTATATATTCTTATTGTCTATAACATATCCAAAATCTGGAGATGGCACAAAAAAATAAGTTGTAGAAAATCATCGACATAGTTTGATGACACGAATGCACGTAATATGATCCTATATAATTAAGTTGAGAATTTCAAGTCATTGCTAAACAAAGGCCTGTAAGTAAAAAACTTCACGGTAGAATTTTCCTAAACTTGGCCATATTGTAGGTATTCTTATTGTACATAATATAGCTTTTTTATTAAGTATGTCATTCCAAGTACATTATGTTTCTTTGAATAATAAGAAAAGACAAACTTCAAATAATATCATTTTGCTAACTTAAGATTTGTGTTATTAAATCAAGATGAATGGTTCTAGTAAGATTGGCAATTCATTCCAATTTTTTGGCACACCAATCTTGCACTGGCAAGCTTGCATAAAATATTAACATGTTTTCATCTTTTCTAGGACAGATAAATCTTCCAGCACCGGTCTGTCTACCTCATGAAACTGGGAACCCCATGCCATTTGTTTTAGTTGGAGATGAAGCATTTCCACTAAAGCCTAACTTGTTACAACCATATCCTGGCAAGCAACTTGATTGCAATGCTAAACAGATTTTCAATTATCGATTGTCTCGTGCACGCAGGGTTATTAAAAACTCATTTGATAGGTATCACAAATCACAGTTATTTTTTTACTATTGAATGAATTTACTTAAAAAATGAAATTATGGTGTACTCTATTGATAAATTTTAGGCATCCTTGCTCAGCTATGGTGGTTATTGTTCAGAACAATAATTGCTGAACCAGAAAAGGCAGCATTGTTAGTTAAAGCAATATGTGTTTTGCACAACATGTTACAAACTGTTGGTGATCCATCTTATACACCTCCAGGATTTGCAGATTCCATAGCTCCCAATTGGCATCTGTGCAATGGATTCTGGCGAAGGCAATCCAGTGCAGTGCTGGAAAGTGCTGTAAGGCTGGCAGGCAGAAATTCGATAGCTGAAGCAATTTCTGTACGTCAGCACTTTATGAGTATTTTGTTAGTGAGCATGGTTCAGTTGAGTGGCAATGGGCTTACTTAAATCAACACTGAACACTTTTCCTTGTAATTAATTTTTGTCAAAATAAACTTGAACCTTTAAAAACCACCTTTTTTGTTTGTGTCTTAACACATTGATGAATTATTATATATATATTTTAAAAAATCACTTTAACAACAGATACTTAAGATAAATCAATTGAAGAATAGTCACTTTGTTCATTATTGGTTGAGCAATGCTGGTGGGCAGGAAGTTTTGTTGCATTGTTAGAGGCAAAACTTGAAGAGAAGTTGATTGTGATGAAAAAGAATTAGGGTAGCTTGGTTCTCTAGGAGTAAAATACTCAGCATTGAACACTGCAGCTTCCTTAATCGGGTTGCAATCCCCATACAGAAAAAATGGGCATCATCTTCCTCATGATTCAATTGCTGGTCAATGGACTTAAGCATCTCATCATAATCCATGGAGCTTTTCCTCTTGCATGCTTTCTAGGTTTTTCGTGCAAGTGTTGGAGCTGTAGAAGTTGGTGTTGTTATTGATGGTGATGGTATGGGTGAACTGGGTGAGTTTACAAGAGATGATGATGTAGATGGTTCGTTTGATGACTGAGCTGATGTAATCACAGGAAAGGTTGTTGGAGTATTTAATACATCCAAATTATTGACTGGAGAAGGCGCATTTGTTCGTTTATGTTGATTAGATGACGTGTTATAGTTAACAAATTAAATAGACTTTCATGTATAATTAAAAAATTGAAATGATATTAAACAAATAGCAAACCTTTTTTTATTGAAATCCAAATACCAATCAAAGTGTCGCCACTATTTCCAGTTCGGCTCGTCAGTGGCAGCAGCACCACTAGCTCTTCTAAGATCGTACTGCCTTTTGTACTGCATGAATGAATCACGCAGATTAGACCACTTTTTCATGATAGTGTCAACTGTAAAATGTTTAAAAAGTAATGGAAATGCATGATTTGATATAAAAAGTGTCGGCGGACTATCAATAATACTCACTATCACACGCCAAGTCCGTAATTTTATCAAATTCATCCAAAACATCTTGCCAGTGATGTCTTTTCTTGTTCCTCGAGTCCTTATAATCCGGGTGACTTTTATCATACAAAATTGGTTTTTCTCGCATCAGATTTATCAAAACCTCTTGGATCGTGACTAAAACACAATGATCTAGTACCCATTCTACTAGATACCTGACTCAGCCAAATTTGTATAGTAATGATGAGGCAAATTTCTACGCGGCCGCCATTTCCAAAGGTGGCAAAAGCACAATGGCGGCATATAAAAATATTAAGTCTGTGCTGAGAGAAATCGACTTTGAGAGCGTTTTTATGATGCTGTTCTACTGAAGTTGCATTAAAAATGGTGAGTAATTTCTTTAATATTGTTAAAATGTGTAAAATTTTTAAATACTTGAGATAGAGCGGTCTTAACGTGTATTTTGCGACCATAAACTAAAGGCTGAGAGTTACATAAGTATGAACTACTAATCGTGAGTATTTATTAATTTACATCTTCTTTGCTGTTCTCTATGCTTTTTTATCGTAAACCAAAAACATATTTACAGAAAAAAAGCGACAAAATCGCATAACAGCTATCCAGAACTTTGATTTGAACACAACGTTTACGGTTTATATGAATTATTTTACCTGAACAACATAATTTTAGATCTATTAACAATATGACTGCATCGTTGTAAAATGCGCTTATTTTCACTATTTACAATAAACCACTATTAATTATTTTTTTAGGATTTACATTTCCTTGGTTGTGGTGTGGATGTTCATCGAAGTCGACTAGATTCCTTGAAATAAAACAAGCTTCGTAGATTGCTGGCGAACACCAATTTTGTTTTTGTGGAGGATATCTTTATTATATTGCTTACCATAGGTCGAAAGTCGTAAATTGATGTATTTTTCAATGATCTGTTTGATAAGCTGTGATGAATGTAGATCTTCAGTTATTGCTTCGTGATCAACATCATGCTCGTTGAGTTCAGGAAACAAGCTCTTTTCTGCAAGCTCTTGATTAATAAGATGAACCATTATAGTCTTCAAGTTTCTCCTGCTGGGAATTTTTTGTTTTTTTGAACGAGTTTCATGAATGAGGACTTGAAAAGCTCTTTCAGATGCAAATATTATTTTGGTCACACCATTAGAAGGGAGAACAAGACCACCACGATTCTTCAAACTGATTAAAGATAAAGATGTAGTAGTTTGGAAGTGTGAATAATTATGATCATGAACGGATGATGATTTTTTTGACTTGAGCAAAAGAGCTCTTGCACATTCAGTACAGGTGATTCTATTGATTATCTTTTTTACAACAAACCCAGCAATATATCCAAGTATTGCTCCTTTTATGATGACAGTGAACATGATTCTAATCCAGAAACTAAACTACTGACATATTGTGTGTCCTTTGGTGTCATCTCTTCTACTTCAAAGGCTGGAGCATTTCTTTTATTCCATTTTAATGAAAAAATAGAACCAGCAGATTCATTTTCGAAAGTCAAACAGTTTGCATGCTTGGAACCAATGATGGAATTTCTTAAAAGAATTTTTCGTAGACTGGACTTAAATTGTACAATATCTGGATTATTGTTGAAGCCATTCTTACCACGTATGCATGCAAACAGCAGCTCAAGGTGGTCTTGGGACATTTTGTATGTTAGAATGTATTTGAAAGGATCATGTTCCCTTGTAAGGAGAATGTGAGCCAACTCTTTAATGCTCGATGCTGCTACTACAAAACCGAGAACAAATGTTCCACCATTTCCACCATTTCCACACTGGCTCCTCCACTGCTAGAGCACCACTTGCAAGCTTTGCCTCACATGACCGTCTTTGCTGGTGAAACGTGTCACGAAGGTTAGCCCACTTTTTCTTCACATCTTCATCTTTTAAAAAGATGGAAAACTTAACAAACATTCGACATAATACTGCGAGTATAATTCTATTAATTATTCGAATCCCGTTGAGTCACCTGAATTTTTCAGGTTCATGAGACAATTGCTTAAATTGTCCAGCAAAGTGCGAAGATCATATCTCATTTAATTTCAAACACCGCACTGCATATAACATTCAATCATAACAAATTATTTAAAACTTTACCTGAATGATCAATATTGGTCGCAACTTTCCGTTCCCGAGCAACATCCTTCCAATTATTTTTCTTTATATTGCGTGTATCTTTATAAGCAGGATGAAATTCGTCCCACAAACATCGCCTCTCTCTCACTAGCTCAATTAATATTTCTTGCCAATCGGCCATTTTGCCACAGCACAGTGAAAGCAAACATTTGTAATGTGATTTTTTTGTCCAATCAGAGTAACTATACAACAGATTACTCGTCACTCGTTGACGATTTCGGCACAGAACAAGGATTGTAACAGAAGCGTCACTAGATGTCGGAGCCTTTGATGTTCGTGCCCCTGTTTTGAGTTCTACAATCCGGGTATTTTAAACGGCGGCCATGTTTCCAGCCGGATGAGTGCAGCCCAGTGAACTCCATATATATATATATATATCTGGAATGATAACGACAATACATTTTATAGATACAAAATTGAAGCCAAAGTCCTAGTCTCTTGCGCGGTTTGTTTTTACGTCAGTTCCAGTCCTTCAAAGTCAAATATTCACGCGGTTTGTACGTCAGTATCATTCCCCTGAGTGCCAAACATACACGGCCAATATAAATTTGAATACAAATTGCAAAAGCATAAACATATAAACAACATCACGACAAACAACACACGAGGCCAACTCCTCGCAAAAGGTTATTTTTTACAGCTGAAACTTTACTACAGTGTGTTCGTTATAACTTACAACTTGTAACGAGGAAAAGCCAACTGAAAATTACACTGTTCGCTAAAAAGACAATACAATAGAAAATATGACGAGAAAATATTCAAGCATAAATTTTTCTTTCGTCGGAAGGTAAATTTTCAAACGGTGTCAGACAGTGTTTGTCTTTTTTTGTCATTTCAGTGGATTTAAAGATCTGTTTTTCCGAAGAAAAAGAAACTTGAATATCCAGTTTCATAAAAAATATTGAGTCTATAACTCGCATTTTTACTTTTTACAGAGCGATTGTATTTTTCATCGATTTTGATAGTGCTTGAAACACTAAATGGTTGTCATCTCGCTATCAATAATTGAATATCCTTAAAGACTTTGCATGTTTGTAAATGTAGATCGTCCAGGTTGGTATAGTCCTGAGAAGGACTGTTTTTGTTGTTGTTGACTGACGTTTCGACAATCTTAGCGGTAGTCATCTTCAGAGTCAAAAAAATGACTCTAAGTAGTCATCGCTAACATTGTCCTTCTCTCTTTGTCCAACAAAAACAGTCCTTCTCAGGACTATACTAACCTGGACGATCTACATTTACAAACATGTAACGATACTCCCGGGTTCAAACCATTTACCGTAAGGACTTTGATATGTTTTAAAGGAAAACCGCAGCGTAAGAGCAGATCGACCAAGTTCACCTCACATTGCTTCTCGATTTATCACTTTGATTCACTTTCCGTGAACCTTTTCATTCCAAAAATTTCGTTAATTTACGCTCTGATCAAGATCCGAACTCTACCATTACCAAGGGACAAATGATTTAAAAAAATTAAAATGAACACGCGAGGGACTAGAGCCTGACGTGTAATGACGAATGATGACGACATGTATTTTTTTGGCTTCAATTTTTGGCTTCGGTTATCATTCCAGTTATTCAAATGTCGAGTTCACTGGCGCAACCATTGAGTTCTATAATAACTAGAGCGGCTAACTTTACTGGGGCGAGGATGCCAAGAAAATGGCGGCCAAAGGACGTATTTCCGCTGAAATGATCGCTTTGCAGAAAAATAATATTCTCGACCGCCCCCTGGTGTATAAAGAATTTTTCAAAAACAAACACGATATCACAGAATATGGATATCGTAGTTCCATATTCTGTGACGATTCTTTTTTGGCATTTCTTTTATAATGCCAACACTTCAATCGTTCAATTGTTGGATGTCGTAGTTTCCACAAAAAGGAACATATCGCTTCTCACGGGTGAGGTAGTTGTTTGTTTTGTTAGTCCGTCAACGATTGAAAAGCAACTATACATGCATTTGAAAAGCCATAAATACATATTAAAGATCGTATTTTTAAGACTGACTTGAACGCAAAACATACTGATGTTTTCCTGTTTTTGTTTATAAAATTCTGCATACTTTTCTGTCATTTGTTAATGCATGAAATTGTAAATTTACCCATTTATTTGCAAAATAGTTTCCCTCAAGCAAAAAAGACCCTGCACACATTTTGCTCTGTGTATAAAGTATCAAAAAGAAATGATCAGCCCCAACGGTACCCATGATTTGGAGCAGAGCTTGTTATGTTCTAATTGCTGACAACATGCAAAGATGTTATTGACCAGGCAGAGTCTTAAAAAATTATAATGCTGTAAAGATAACTGATTTATTGTCTGTTCTATCCAGAGTTATTTAATTTGATCGTGGTCAAATTCTATGGATGGAGACAATGGATTCACTAAGGATGCCTTGAATGCTTTGAAGTTAAAGTTCATGATCCAAAGAAAGATGGCAAGAAGGTTGTGTGTGTTTTGATGCTTAATGAAATGTCAACTCACAAACATGTAAAATGGAAGGCCATAAAGTTTGTGTCTATGTAAACATTTGTACTGAGATTGATGATGAGTCGATGCAGATGTGAAGCTTCAAACTGTATAAGCCATTGGGTTTTATGTAACTTAATGTTTAAATGATGTCATATCTTTATCAAAATATTTTAGTTGAGTGTTGTTTGAATGTTACTAATATCTAATGCACTATACTGAAGCATTAAAGATTCAGTGATGAAACCTTCAAAGTTACTGTACTGTATATTTTTATATATTTCTTTATATTTCTTTAAGAAAAATTGAGCTTATTTAACCTATTAGAGTACAGAATGGAGATTTATCATATGCATTATTGCTGCTTTTTAAAGAAACGTTTTTCACTTTTCAAAGCTTTTCTACAAATTTTTTTTTCTTATTTTTTTATCATGAGAATGATGATATAGAGGTAATATAATACAATAACTTTAATTTCTAAAAGCTTTGAAGCTTCTAGCATAAAAGTACAGTATAGGTATGTAATTCATTTGGTTTTATTGTCTTTGTGCTATGACATATCTACTTGCACTTCATCATTCTTATATGAACAAAACACCAGATGTGGATACTCAGGAGAACAAAATGCACTACCAACTGCTTATGAAATTTATTATTGAGGTGAAAACTGTAAATTCATTCAAATTATAGTGCACTTTTATTGCAAATATAGAAAAACAAAACAAAGTGAAAAGAGTAGGTAGTACATAGGGATCACAAAAAGTTTACTTTTTGTTATCCCATACGCCCCATGTACTATACTACTTTTAACCGTGGGTAAAAACTATCTTTATAACAGCGCAAAATAAGACCATGGTTCAAAAGACGTCCCCTCAGCAAAAGGTCATGTAAAAAAGCTGTGTAAAAATAGTCATTGTTTCAAAGGGTAAAAACTTTCTTTATAACAGCGTAAAATAAGACCATGGTTCAAAGGGGGTCCCTCAGCAAAAGGTCATGTAAAAAAGCTGCGTAAAAAAAAGTCATTGTTTCAAAGGGGGTAAAAATCTCGAGGTTACAATCTATCGTTTAAAAATATGGAATCTATATGTTTTTGAAATATATAGGTGCGTTTAAATTTTACAAACGGTCTTTACAAACAAATGTTAAGAAAGCATCGTTTCTGGAGAGCATCCGCAGCATTAGAGCATAATGCAAGATCATGAAATGATCTTATTCAGATGCTCGAGCAGGGGAATGGATGCTCGAGAATTTGAACCCTGGTGGGGAAAATTTTCACGAAGTGAAAATTCGGTTCCCAGTACATCGATGAATATTCGAAGAATATTCGAGAATAACAGAGGCTTAAAAATGCTCTTCAAAACCGTCTTTAATAATCAAGTGTTAATAATCAAGTGTTATTAAAATATCAGTATCAGCGATAGCTGGTTTTGTAGCGGCGCGCGTGTCTTAGTGCATGTTTTTAACAATGGTTGTTTAATGTAGATAGCACATTTCATCAGCGCATGTATAATAATACAATGTTTTATAAATATCAGTAGCAGCGCGCTTTATAGTCTACGTGGTATATTTGGCAGACTAGTGGCCTTTTAACAATGGTCTTGAATCCAGCGCGTGGTAGAAATATTCTTTAATAATCAAGTGTTAATAAAGCATCTTTTTAAATCGTTGTTAGGGGCGAAGAATTTCAGGCAACTAAGCCTGAAATTTTGAGCGCAACAATGTCATAGATGCTCTTTACAAAATATGGAATCTATACGTTTTTTAATTTGTCTGTCAAGCGAGTGTTATATAATTTTTGTTAAAAGTGTTTTTAATAATTGTTTCAGGATTTTGAATCTTTTTGTATTAATTACTTGTTACAAACAGTTATGTGATATGTAGTCAAACATGAGGATTATTCTTCACCTTCATCTTTAGGCTTAGCTTGATAGTTATCTTTAATAAATTTTTTAATTTTTCGATTTCATCATTTACAAATTTTTAGTTGATAGAATATTATCTTCTATAGTAGCCGCAAAATTTGGTGAATAACCATTATATAACATAGATAATGTAGATGTATGTTGTGAATAAACTTGTATTTTGGATAATCCATTAAATGCTTTATTCCATTTTCTTGCCCATTCATTATAATTAATTGAAGCTGTAGATACTTTTGGTTCAATAATAATAGAAATATTGTTTATATTATCATCAACACAGTATACGTAATATAAATCTAGTAGTGCATCAGCTATCTTTTTTTCATTATCATTTGTTATTTTAATGATAAATTTTTTATTAATCTTATCTACCATAATATCTAATTTAATTGTTTTGGATTTATCAGATGTATTTATAAATAGAAGTGTAAATTCAATAAATTTAATATTGTTAAAAAGAATATTTATAATATCTTGTTGGCTACTAACATTTGAGTTGAAATTTAATTGGTTACTATGGTGTACAATTTTACTTTTTACTATATCATCTATTTGAGTTTTAGTATAGTGGTCATTAAATTTATTATCAACTTGAGTTTTATTATAATAGTGGTCATTAAATTTATTATCAACTTGAGTTTTATTATAATAGTTATTTAAATTAGAAGTCAAAGCATACTTACCATCAGCTTGTGTTTTAGTATAATAGTTAGTTAAATTAGAAGTCAAAGCATACTTACCATCAGCTTGTGTTTTAGTATAGTAGTCATTGAATTTACCATCAGATTGTGTTTTAGTATAATAGTTATTTAAATTAGAAGTCAAAGCATACTTACCATCTGTTTCAGTCTTTGTATAATATTTATTTAAATTAGAACTTAAAGCATACTTACCATTTGTTTCATTCTTGGTATAATAGTTGGCTAATCTTGAAACAAAAACATATTTATTGTCAGCTTGTGTTTTAGTATAATATTTTAGTAAATTAGAAGTTAAAGCATACTTACCATCAGCTTGTGTTTTAGTATAGTAGTCATTAAATTTACCATCAGCTTGAGTTTTAGTATAGTAGTTATCTGATAGATGTGTTTTATCTATAGATCCTTTTATATTTACATTAATATCTGTTTTATCATGCCCATAAAATAAGCTCATTTATATTATTCCTCAGATTTTATATCCGGTTTATTATTTTTATGTTCATAAATATATTTAATGGTTGTTATTCCACCAGATAAAACACCTAGAAACGATAAAAATGGTGATACTTTTTCTACTAAACTGTAAACATCTTGTTTTAAAAGGTCGTCTGATTTAAGCTGTTTTGTTAATTCTTTGGGATCTTCAATAGCATCAAACCCTTTTAATATATCTGAAAATTTTGATATAACTAAATTAGTTAAAAACTCATTAGCTTTTTGTAATCGTTTTTTCTCGTATTCAGTGTATAATTTATCAATAATTTTTTGACTAGCTTTTTTAATGTAAGCAACTGACTTGTCTAAATCACCATCTTCAGCTAGTTTAAGTAGTTGATCTCTTTTATTAAAACCCTCTTGCGGTTTATCTTGTATATTATCATCACATACAGCATCTTTGATAGTATCATTTGCGGAATCAATCTCATTAATTAGATCGTTAATTGTTTCAGGCTCTTTACGCTTTGGCATATATATATAACACATGTTTTATTGCGGAATAACAATTTTCCATTGGTATGGATATACAAGTTGTATTTCTAAATGTGCATACTTATTATTTTTTAATTTTTTGGTTATTTCTTCTATATCATCTTTCTCAACACCATAAAGATAATCATCAAACATGGTTTTCATATCATTGCGGTTTGTATTATAAAATGTAATTAAATAACTTATATTTTGGCAGTAGGGTTTAGAAATACTAGTCAATTGCTGTGTCACCACAATTGTAGAAAGCCCATAATGACGAGAGCTGAACCCTAATCGTACTAATTCCGATGTTCTATTCTTAACATCTAGGCAACTTGCACAGTCATCAAGAATAATAAGACTATTTGTACGTTTATATACATCACTAACATATTTTAAAACAATATCTACCTGATCTTGGTCACATTCTACTTTAATTAAATCAGAATCATTTATATGTTTCCATTCTTGGTAGGTTCTATTATATGATAATGTGGGGCATACTAAAATAATATAATCAAAATGGTTACTAAAGTTTTTTTCTAACATTCTTAAAAGAAAGAAGGTTTTGCCGCAAGCAGTCATGCCTAAAATAATCATATTAAAAGGTGTGTTCATTTATATATTACTGGTTATTTTAGTATTGAATACTTTGGAGATCATTATTTACAAATTGAACAAGAGCATCACTAATAACATAAATGTAACAGTTTAAATCTTTTGTATATGCTCTCTTTTTAATTTCTAATAGAACGCCATTTTGAGTATTAAGAATTCGTTTACCGTTACCAGCAATATTTTTTTCATGAAAGGTCCTTAAATCGATCAATAAACTGAATTTATTTTTATAGAATTTTTCAATTGACATATAGCAATCTATCGGAATAGTTCTATCAAAAAATTTTCTTGCTGCTTCATAAAATTGTTTTTTATTCATACCTTGATTAAAAATAACATTAGGAACACCTTCTATCGTTATTTTTACTTCATCAATGTTTGGGTATATAAATTTTTCACTATCACTAACTGAATTTTCTGTGAATAGTAGTACAATGCCTTTCATACTTTTACGTGGTACGTTGACATTAACATTCTGTAATGTACTTGATTTATCCCATTTTTCTATTTTCAAGAGAGTTATATGTTCATAAAATAGGCTTCTTCCTATAGAATATAGATTTGTCACCTCATCTGCAATTTCTTGATTTTCAATAGTTTCATATTCCAGCTGAATATTTTCTAATTCATAATCACCGATATTTTGACCGCTTTGAGCGATAAGTACTTGATCACTTGGTGGTAATGTTATTATGTATTGAAAGTTATTATTCATATTGAAAGGGCAATACAGACCATGGTCTTTAAGAATGCTATCAATATTAATTTTCTGTCTTACACCATAAATATCATACATTAATTTATCTGAAACTTTTTGAGAATCTCCATTTGTTTCAGCACTATCATCTTTCGAAATGAGTTTTCTTAGATTTTGGCTACATATGCCATATTCAATAAGGCCTTGTCGATCACTTTTCGGCATCCACAAGTCTTTGTATATACTTATAATATTATGATTATTGCAATCGTAAAGCGATTCCGAAGCAACTTTAATTTGGAGTCGATGTTGTAAAATCTGACTGAGATTATTTAGAAAGTGACTTTTTGTATTACTGATTTTAAGATCAAACGATAGATTAAGTGACCCAGGAACCAAACAACTATTCGATTTTAATTTAGGTATATTAACATAAATTTGTTCAGCCGGTTTAACACTACTAGGATTAAAGGTAATACTATAAAAAGTATGGTTACCTTTAATTTTCGCCATAGTAGTCCTTTTATAACCGGGTAAAAGCTCTTCTTGTAATCTATTCATATATATTAAAACATATTTTATTTTCTTCTTTGTTTATACTGATCATATATTAACAAAGCAGCAGCAATAGCTAAAACCCATAGATTAGAAGCTAACCATGCTAAACCTTTAGCCCCCAAGATACAGTCTGAGCGATAATATTCAATAATGGTCCTAACACTGGCCATAATTTCTTAACTAGATTTACTACAGACTTAGAAAATTTACTAGTAGCTTGAGCACCTTGCAGGATTGCTTTTCTAGCAGCAATAACAATGGTTGTAATTATCGATCCAATAGATATAGCTAAAGCTGATAATCCTGGTATATTTTCTTTAACCCATTCTTTAAACCGCTGTAATCTAGTAATGTCTTCTTCTTGTTTATTTCTTACATCCTCTTTCTCTAATTGATCTTCTTCTTCTCTAATTATAATTTCTAATTCAGCTGCTCGTTCGTGTAAATTAGTTAATTCATCAATATCGTTGCCAATACCATTTTCATTTTCTATTTCATCTATTTTAGCTATAGTTTTGTTTAGCTCTTCAGTAAAGTGATTTATTTGTGCTTCTATGAATTGCGGTCTTGTTCGTTTATCAATAGTTCCAGATGGAGTCATAACACCTATATGTTCTCTAAGTTCTTGATTAGTTATTTGATTGATATTTTCTGTATATTGATTATTTAAATCAACCATAGGCATACTCTTTTCAGTTTTTATAAATTCATCTTGCAAATTAATAATTCTTTTAATTTCGTTTTTAAATTGTTTAACAGCTTCTTTAGCAATTTTATTTTTATTATATTGTAATATTCCATTATTATTACGTGTCAAAACAATTATACCTTTTTTGCTTCGTTTATTTCTTGTATTTAATGGTTTGTAAGTAATATTATTTATATCAGTTCTACCTAAATTTAATCTAAGATTTATACCTTCATCATATGCCATACCTTTTAGGTGATTAAATCTAAACTCTTTTTTATAATTTTTTGTAATGAACTGTTCAACAGCAAAAGAAACTTCATTTTCAGGTCTATTAATATTTGTATAAACAGGAGTTGAAGTAGGAACATCAGGAAGAGTATTAGTTTTATTTGTCTTTTTTCTTATTGTTACACCATAATTATCATCAGTAAATGATGTTTCATCAATAAATTTAAAATCTTGCCAATCTTCATTATCATCGTTATTATCTTCATTATCATCGTTATTATCTTCTAATTCGATATAATCAAAACCTCCTTCAGCCATTATATAGATTACTCTATATTTTGTATTTCACTTTCAGGAATCCAACTATTATGTTTATTATCATAACCTAACCATTTAACTAAAACCATCTTCTTACCTTTAACTTTCTTACGTTTTAATATTTTTTCAACTCTATAAACATCATCTTTTTTATTTACAACTGATAGTTCTTCTTCATAAAATTTACCAATTATAGGCTCTCCTTCTAAATCTTCTATCTCATATAAATTCGGATCTCCTCTAATAACTTTAGTCACTTTAAAAAGCTCTTCTGTAAAATTTGCTTCATAGCCTTTCGTAAATATAGATTTATACTTTGATATTCTAACCATATCACCAATTTTAATCTTAGGTAATGGTAAATAAGCAACTTCATGACCGTATAATGTATTCCATACTTCATCTTCATTATTTTTATTAACATCTTTAGGCTTCATCAAGATTGTACTGTGTTTTGTATTGTTATAATTATATACTAAATCATCTAATATATCAATCCATTTATATGTTCCTTTACTGTAAAAATATTTCCACATAGATGTTTTAAGCGTTCTGTTGAATCGTTCGACAATCGCAGCCTTTTTATCATTTTAGTAGAGAAGTACTTAATTCCATGTTTCTAATAATGATTTGACACCTACATTATAAAATTCTTTACCATCATCAAATTGAGCTAGTTTCGGGTAATCATTAAATCTATCTTTAAATTGACTTAATAGTTTTGCAACAGCTTTTGTCATATTATTTGTGTCTTTCCTATAAACAGGGATAGCAAATGCATATCTACTTAATATTTCAATAGCTGTTAATATCCAATAATAACCATTGTTTTATACTTATAAGAACCCATATCAACTAAATCCATTTGTATTTGTTCACCAAGATAGTTTACCTTTGTTTGTCTGAATTTATGTCTCCTAATAATAGGTTTATATCTAGTGTATGTATCTTGAGATATTAACCATTCTTTAACTTGTTTTCTACTAACATCTATACCTTCTTCTAATGCTTTCTGATATAACCGTTCTGCTGATTGATAACCTGTTTTCGGATCATAATAAATATCTCTTAAACTTTGCTCAATTTTAATGTCTTCATCCATTTAAATTACTCAAGATAACATTCTAGTAGAATATTACCTACATTAACAGGATTACCATCTTGATCTAATATATTAAATATTAGCTCGTTAAAGGATCCTTTTATAATTATAATTTTAGATTCAATATCATTGTATTCGTATACAGTGCCAAATAACGACTGAATTGTTATTACTGGTAAAGTTAAAGCTATATTACTTTTTTTTCCTTCAGGGTTATAATTATAACTTGAATTTACAATATTAGAAGAAATTTGAATATAGTTTAATCCTCTGTTTATATCCACTTTAGAAACACCATTTTGTGTGATACCTTTTTTCATAGTTTTTATAGTATCATTAAAACCTAACATTTTAATAAGAGTATCAGATAATACTAATAATTCATCATTATTATTAGTTATTTTACAAGTTCCATTGTTTTCTATCATTTCAAGCTTTACGTTAACAGACTCAAAAAACGTTTTAAGCATTTTAAAAGTCCAGTAACCAGCATTAATATTATATTTTGTTGTGCCTATTGTAAAAACTAAAGTATTATTTAATTTTATGTTTTTGTATTCCCAATACACATCAGCTTTTTTGATATATAAATATGAATAGTTAGTTGTTACTATACTTTCTTGTAAGTCAATTTTTTTACGATATCCGTCTATAAAAACAGTGAACTTCATATATAACATAGCTTATATTATATGTCAGATAAACAAATAGAAAAAAATGATATAAAATTAGGTGATGATGATTTAAAACATGTACCAACATGGCCAAAAATATATTTAGAAACAACTAAAACGCCTTTGTTTTCAAATCTCATAGCAGCTGTTAATGGAGATGAAGGTCATTACCAGGACTTTTTCGATAAATCAATTCATAGGTGGAATGCAAGGTTTATTGTGACACCTACATTTCAAAGGCCGGTAAATGTTGATATCTGTAACTTTAGATTGTATGTAACAGAGAATGATTATTTTATGAGTAATTTTAAACCTATAACAGCTACGTGGACAAGTGAAATTAAAAGTAAAAAAGAACAGCCGACTGGTATAAGATATAATATTAAAAATCATTTAAATTATAAACAAGAAGCGTACTACGCTATGATTTGTGGGTCTTATGTTGCCAGTTTTTTATGCGGTATCGGACTTAATCATTTAAATTTTGATAAAAGTAGAATTATACAAAGCCTTGTTAAATATCATTTATATTATCAGATCATGAAATTTATGAAGCATCCATCGTTATTAGACAAATATGACTTTACGGAATTGAAAAAGCATATACCTTATAAAGGTATTTTAAAATTTGATAAAAACAATGATGGTTATTATGTTAATTTTCAATATTCGACTACTGATTATAAGAGCTTCATTGCATATCATTCGGAAGGTATTACATTAGTCGGAAAAGTTCTTTTGCAAGAGTCTATTGAAAGCTTTGTTTATACAATTCTTGGGGCCCAGGCAAATACAAGATGGTCAATAGTTAATCATGGAGCTAAGAGCCTGCAAACTCAAAACGTTTTTAGAAAATTATTAAAAGATACTATAGTACAGAATGATACGACTGTATTGATATCTAACATGAGAAAAAGTATAAAAGACACAAATGTTATTTTAAATATGGCGATCAGTCCTGGTATGATTTTAATACCCAGCCGTTTAATAATATTAAATAAAAAGATTGATGGGTATAATAATATTTTAACATTAGCTAATAAAAATATGCAATTCGGTGTTAATTCTAAAATAAATTATTATGGAGTTAAAAAGGAAGAACCTAAAAAAGTACATCAAGATAATACACCCTCACAACACTTAGATACTCTAGATGAAGTGTATAAAAAACAAGTAGTACATAAACATACAAAAATGATAGTAAATAATCCCCATCAAACAGATATGGTTGCTTTACTTGGTATATCAACGCTATCATCATTCATATTAGTTAAATATGTTTTATAATATAATATGAAAAAAGTTCTAGATTTTAATCATATTTCGAGTGAGTTAAGTCAAGAGGAATTTGAAAAGCTGAAAAAGTTGTATTTGTACTATCACAAAATGTATACCTGTTTTAAATGGAAATATAATAAATTAAAGAGAATTAGACTATCATTAAACATGGGAAGTATTTTTTTAGTCTCAACTGGTGGCATTGTCGGTAGCGTAACCCTGAACCCGATAGTTATAGGCACCCTGAGTGGTATAGGTGCTTTAGTTCAAGGTTATATGGTTAAGAGTAAGATTAATAATAACTTAGAAATGTGTAGATTTGCATATATATCATACGAAAAAATACTTATGAATATAAGATCATATTTAAGAGGATTGCCTTATGATGAAGTGATATTTATATCAGATATAAAAGTTATCGATAATATTATAATAGACAATTGTACTACTATAGATGGTATGGTGAGTAAATATAACAAAAAATATAAATGATCTGTGAGTTATCTGTAAGTTATCTATAAGATTATTTATAAGTTATCTGTGAGTTATCTGTGAATAAAATCTACAGTATTATATAACATGTCTGAAGAAAATTTAAAAATTACTACAGTTAAGAAAGAGAAAGACCCTATTAGAGTTGAAGCTGGGAAACGCTTGGCCGCTATATCGAAAGCTTCTAAAGAAAAATAGATGCGAGATAGGATTGAATTAGAAAATAAAAAGAAAATTGAGGATAATAGCTGGAATATTAATTACGGATTTTTATTTGGAGCAGTTGGAGTAATAACCGCTATTGTTAGTCTCTATTATACAAGGAAAAATGATAAAAGGCAGGAAAAATTAACAAGCGATAAAGCAAGAGAAGAAACAACTAGTGAAAAACATGTTTTGATACAAAAAAATAAACAATATAATTTAGACTCATTTGAATAAAATATTTCCTATTATATATGAGTAATACTATAAATAAGAAACAATTTATGAATGAAGCTTTTGATGCAGTGCTTGTGACAACAACTGCTGTAGGCCTTTCTATGGCTTC